ATGTGCGACTGCCTTGCAGAATCATATTTTACTACTGCACATGCTAGCTACCTTTCCTGGCTTCAGACCTACCTTTTAAATAAAAATAAGTTTCTGTCTATAAAGAGGAAAAAGAGAATGTGATTGATAACCTTTCCATGAAATCACATTCTAAGTCGTCTTAGATTCAGCCCTTGACCCTTGGTCTGTGCGCTTCCTGTGGTGAGTTGGGTAGAATGCTAAATGAAGCCAGTGAAGGAAAAAGATTCCATTGTTAAACAAAAGTGGAAGAAGAGAGATTAGAAATGGGTTCCCAACAAGCTTTTTTTTTTTTTTTAAAGAGACAGTTTTTGCTATCGGGTGTGTGCACTCTCCAGAGAGATGGATGGAGAGAGACAGAGAGAGAGAAAGTGAGAAAAGTCACCCCCCAGGAGGGATGGCCACGCTGCAATCCCTTCTCCTCTTGGAGTTTTGGGCATGCACGAGCATGTGCCTGGCATGAGTTTCAAGCCTCTGAGTCAGGGCCTTGGGCTGGGGTAGACCTTGTGGAAGTCCAACACCCTAACCACTATGCCACCTGCTGGCCCAGCCCAACAAGTTTTTGAAAATTCTCTTCATGCTCTCCTAGAATGGCTTCTTAAATTTGTCTCAACCCAGTGACTACATGAAAAGAGATGTTGCTCAGTAACTGTCCCCATCAGATTTGGAAACCGGATTTTTTTCTGATATTGTTTATTTATTGCCATTTAGTACCAAGTGGTACTATTTACTGTGTAAATATCACCATTCATCTCCATTTCTCACTCTTTTTTTCACCCTGCTGTGAAAGATCCCGAGCAAACTTATGGGAGAAAAACAAAGATTACTTGAAACTTATGGGAGAAAAACAAAGATTACTTGAAGGACAAATCAGTTTACATCCAGAATATAGATAATACAGGAAAAAATATCTAACCAATCTGTTGATACCTTTTTTCCCTGCTTTTATTTATTACTTTTATTTTTAGAGTTTAATCACTCTGTAAGGCAGTTTAAGAGTTTTCTTTCTCTTTCTTTCTTTTCTTCTCTCTTTCTCTTTCTCCTTTCTCTTTTTTAAAGGTTTTTGTCATGGAGTGTATGTGTTCACCAGAGAGAAACAGAGAGGAAAATTGAGAAATCATGGGGAGAGGTGGCCATGCCACAATCCCTTCTCCTTCATTCTCCTTCTGGGATTTTGGGCATGCATGCATCCATGCCAGCATAGTTTTCCACCTGTTAGGTCTGGGACTCAAACTGTGGTCAGCCATTTGGGAATCCTACACCTAAACAACTATGCCTTCTTCTGACCCCTAGCCGTTTCCTTTTTTTTTAAAGCCTATTTATTTATGCCATGAGTAAGAGAGAGGAAAGCAAAGATTCGGATGTAGCACTTCCAACAGGGTCCTGATGCTGCTATCCAACCCCAGCTTCTACCATGCCAGATCATGGGCCCACTTTCGCCTGAGTACTCAGGAAGGTCTGTGGACTCGAACGGGCTACCTGCCTACCTGGGTCAGTCTCACACAGTGCCACCGTCTGGTCTTATTTGCTACTTTTAGCCTTATGTATGTTTTTAATTTGAGTTAATATTCCCCTGCTTGTAAAATGGGTGTAGGTTATTATTGAACTCTGATAGATTAATTTAAATTTAGTCCATTTGAAAGGAATTCTTTTTAATTAGGTGTTTTTGCCTTAGGGTATGTGCACTCACCAGAGAGAGAGAGACAGAGACAGAGATGGAGACGGTAAAAGGGAAAGTGTGAAATCTCTCCCTGGGGGGAAGGCCACATCACAATCCCTTCTACATTCACCTCCCAGAATCTTGGACACACATGGACACATGCCCAGAGTGAGTTTTAAGCCACTTGGTCCAGGACTCGAACTGCATTTGCTCATGTGAGAGTCCAGTGATAAAAGAGCTATGCCATCTGCTAGCCCTGGGAAAGTATTTTAATAGACAACCAGCAAATGGCTTAACTGTTACATCACTGGATTTCCACATGCTCAACTGAGGTTCAAGTTCAGATGTGTGTGCATGAGGACCCAAAGATCCCTGGAGGAAAATGGAGGAGAAGGGATTGCAGCATGGCCATCCTCACTGGGGTGAGATTTCTCATTTTCCCTCTAACCGTCTCTTTCTCTCTGATGAACACACATGCCCTAAGGCAAAGCTCTCTTTAAAAAAAAAGAAGACAACTTTTACTCTCATAGTCTTTATTTCTTAAAATATTTTCTGTTACCTTAAGAGTGTGGTTTTTATGCATGTGAGGTTTTTGCTTGTTTGTTTTCATGTTTGAAAAAGTGTCAACCAATTGAACAAAAAGGATTATTCCTGGAGAAGAACTCTTATTAGATTTTGGAGACTTGTCAATATGGTAGTGAGTGAATCTGTGCAAAATTCTTTTAAAGGAAGGAGGGATGCTGTTTTGTCTGCGAAACTAAACATCGTTCGTAGCATGCACTTTTGAACTACTTAACATAACATGTGGCTTCTTTTTTCTTATTACTGATATTAAAGCATAATCAGCACATTCTGAGATATAAGTGACTTATTCATGTTCCTTCTAGTCCAATAAGTTGATACAGAGGTAAATGTTGTTGTGTAAAAACTGAACAGAGAGCTTGTTTTTATTGGCAAAATATATATAATACAAAATTTGCCATTTTAATCATTTCTACAGAAATTTGACTTTAATTGGCACATTTTCCACAATTATATCTTTTCCCATTATTATCTTTTCCAAAGCTACCAAAGTAACAGGATGAAGATTTTATTTTATTTTTCTTGATTTTGATATGAGGAACTGATTATGGGGGTAAAAAATGGACCACTGAAGAGTCAGGCCTGACTTAGCAAAAAGCCGGCTCTGGAATCCAAAAGCAGATAGTCTCCCAGCGCTTTGAGCATGTCTTGTTAGGTAATGTGCTAAAAATACAAACCACATGAGTTAGACGTAGTTGTAATCTAAAACAAATGTTTACTGGTTGAAGAATTAGGAAAAATTAACAAGAAAATAAAAATAGAAAAAAAAGTGTTTAAAGAAATAGAAAAGATTGTAGGTGCTGTTAGAACTCTGAAGTAAGAGAATGATGACGTGATGAAGGAAAATGCTAGAATACATGGAATAAATTTGAGCTTGGAAGGAGCCCAGGGCTGTCAACACAGAGACCTCAGGCAGCTTTTTAAGCAGGAACAAGGACATGTCAAACTATAGAGGCAAAGACATATGTGAGTATTTTCAGAGAATCGTGATTCATTTCCTGATCATGGCCTAATGTTTCCTTCATGGTCCTCAGAATAACTTTTTTTCTCACAAGTTAGAGCAGGAGAAAATTCATCTTTGCTGTCATTTCCTGTGAATATACCCCATGCAATGGATCATATTTAGTCCTGAGTAATCCATAGTGTAGAGTCATAGTGTTTGATTTATTTCCAGACAGAAGTCTCTGCTTCCTTTCATTCTTTTAGGTTGTATGTCTCTCGAAACTTTGTACTTTCAGTTTTCATAATAGTGTGTATATCTTGTATGTAAAATGTTTAATTTCATAGCAATAGGAACTATAAAGCCTGGCATGCTTCAGAAAAAGGCAATGACAAAAACAAAACTAAAAGGACTTCAGCATAGCTGGGTCAGTATTATCAGGAGGATCTGAGCTGTGTGCTTTTCACCAGTTCCAGGAATAAGTTTCTGCTGAACTGTCTATTCTGGGTTATCTAATCCTTCTTTTGATCCCTGATTGCCCTTTATGAGAAGAGCTAGTTTTCTAGGATTATAAAAACAGTGAGTGGCTTGGCTTATTTTTATCTTTGGAGACCTATCTCTACAAAATTTAAACTAATTCTCTAGTCTTATTCCTTCTCATCAACTCCATGGTCTAATAAAGTGAAAACTTTTGGTTCTGTGAACACAGTAAAGTTCTCTTTAAAGTATATATCAGAGATTGAAGATGTAAAATAATTTTATACAGGTAAAAATGTTTTTATTATTATCTGAAATATTATATATGTGATCATTCACCATAGGAGGTCACCAGGTTTAGAGGAAATTAGCCAAGTGTTAGAGTCTAGTCGGCAAGGACTCAAAATCTGCTAACTTTTGGTTTATATGACCTTGTACAAATTACTTAGATCTCTCTGGCCCTCGGTTTAATGGTCTCTAACAGGAGATTAAGAATAGAAGGACCAGCAGATGGCATAATGGTTATGTTGCTGGATTCCCACATGGCTGACCATGGTTTGTGACCTGGACCCAGCTTAAAACTCACACTGGGCATGTGTGCATGTGTGCCCACAATCCCAAGAGGAGTCTGGAGGAAAAGGGCTTATGACATGGCCTCCCCCCTGGGGCGTGATTTCTAGCCTTCTGTCTTTCTATCTCTTTCCATTTCTCCAGCAAGTGCACATGCCCGATAGCAAAAATCTCTCTTAAAAAAAAAACAAAAACATATATATATATATATATATATATACACACACACATATGTATATTTTATATGTATATTATATATACACATATATATGTAGCTTTCTGAGATGTCTCCCTCCATATATATATATATATATATAAACTGATGGGGCCAGCAGGTGGCATGGAGGTGGCATGGAAGTTTAAGGTGCTGAACTCCCACGTTGTTGACTGCAGTTCAAGTCCTGGACCTGTTGATTTGACACTCACACCAGGTGCATATGTGTGTATGCCCAAAATCCCAAGAGGAGAATGGAGGAGAAGGGATTATGGTGTGCCCATCCTCCCTAGAGGGTGATTTCTCGTTTTCTATCTTTCTGTTTCTTTCTATCTCTCTGGCAAGTGCATGAGCCATATAGCAAAAATCTTTTCCCACACTCCTCCCCCAAGAAAGAACCTATTTCATGGAATTGTTAAAAGTATCACATTAATATATATAAAGCTCAAGTTAGCACTTAGTAACCGTTATTAGCCATTGCTAATAAATTTTTGTCATAAACCACTTCTTAGAAGTCATTCCCTTTGTGTCTTTCATAGCATGAGAAGCTGATGCATGAGTTGGAAGAGGAGAGACACTTACGTCTTCAGAGTGAGAAGCGGTTGAGGGAGGTGACCCTAGAGTCTGAACGCAACCGAATTCAGATGCGTGGCCTGCAGCAGCAGTTCTCCAGGTATTGTTTTTAAACGAGATTATTGCTTTCTGAGGTGTCTCCCTCCATTTACCGGTGACACCTAGGATTGAACTTCAATCGTGCAAGCTTTTGTTGTAATTGATGGGCTGATTTCCCAACAGTTTAAACCTTCTATTCTGGCCAGGCAATTCGATTGCACCTGGACCAATTTTCTGAAACTTTCCATTTGCACCTGACACAGTCTGGTCTTTATTGAAACTTGTTGTCTTTTCTCTCTTGCTGATGTGTCAAGGGAGCCTCTCACTGAGTTGTGGCAGCATCGTGGCCTATAGGCATATCCTGTGGAGGCTAGCCTGTAGGATGAGCTCTTACTGGTAATCATAATCTTGTTTTAAGAGAGTGTGAATGTAATCATTCAGTAAGTTCTTACTCATTGGTTAGGGGAAACTTTTATGAGTAGTTAAAAACATCAGTGAACTTCTTTCGTTTTAAAAGATGTAACAACAAATTGAAAGGAGGTTTATGAAAAAATAGTTGTTCTTAGATTCAATTCCAGCACAGTCGGAATTGTCTGGCTTCCAATTATGGTTAATATGGTACCAGATGATGGTTCACGCTACTATGTTCAACTTGTTCTGTCCCATGGGGAAAAAAAATACACAGTTGTGCATTTTTAGTCCTGGGATCAGATTGGGGCATCCTGTAAAGAAAACTATGTTTTAATTTCTTCTATACCTCACCATTTACAACATCAGGAAAATAATTTCTTTCACTTCGCCCCCATAAGGTTGTCCCGACAGTGTTATGTTTGAGAAGTTGACCAAAAATCTTCATGAGCAAACTGCATAGAGGTCTCATCTTCAATGTATCACTGGGGTTTAAATAAGTATAAGATCAATAATGGAAAATATAACTTCTTCATTAAAAGATTTTTATAGTGATAGCTTAACTTTTAGGTCTATTTCTTTCTTTTTCTTTTTTTAGAGGTTTTTGCTATAGGGCGCGTGCACTCGCCAGACAGACAGAGAGAGAAAGAAAGCAAGAAATCACCCCCCGGGGGGATGGCCACGCCGCAATCCCTTCTCCTCCATTCTCCTCTAGGGATCTTGGGCACGCACGCACACGCGCCCAGCGTGAGTTTTAAGCCACCGGGTTCGGGACGCAAAACGAGGTTGACTACGTGGGAGTCCAGCGACATAGCCATTACGCTAACTGCTGGTCCCACTTTTAGGTCTATTTCTGGGAGAGACCTGGGTCTAGCCTCCAGATGATTTACTTAATGTGAGTAAGCATGGCTTGTGCCTTTGGTTTAGGAATTTCTTGAAGGAATAGAGCAAGAAGGATGAATTACTCCTCCATATTCAGCATCATAATTTAACTCACGGTTCAACTCTTCAAGCCCATGATAATACACAGGTCAATACTTCGATCAATGCATGCCCCCTCCATGGGCTATTGCTTATATCACCTTATGCTCATTTCTTCATTCAATTTGATGACAATTCTCACCTGATGTCTCCCAACTTGAAATAATAGCTCCCCGCCCAAAGTGACTTTAAAATAAGCACAGCTTCGTAATACTCACTGTTTTAATGATACAGGAGAGGAGGAGGCAGAATCTGCTTCTTTGTACTGTCTAATTGAGATGTTTCTATATTCAGGCTATTGCTTTATGTAGCATGAGACACGTGGCACAGTAAATTATTTTCATATGATGCCAGGTCATCGATTGTACATCAAACGACAATCCCAGCCAGATATGAGATACACAAGAACCAAGACTATATCCTAGGTTGAAAGAGAAGATAACTGTATGTACAATAAGTAGTGGCTGGTTTTACATACTGCTTTCAGGAGGATTGTTTTTCTTGCATAATCAGTTTTCTTATGTAAAGCTTTATTGAAACTGAAAAGTTCAAGTCCAATTACAGCTAGACCACTAATGTAAATCAGCAAAAGAAGGGGGAAGAGCATATAGCTGATAAGATAATTACACAATAATTTGAGTAGACCCACTGAACCATTTCTGATGGCCTTTCACAGTTCAAACCTTGGTTCTAAGATATTTCTAGTTGTGCTTATTTAATCCTGCTCATTTGAGTCTTTGTGAAATGCTCAGTATTACAGAATATACCTCTAATTTGTCAGCATCAAAAAGGATCATATAAATAATTTATATAATCTAAATTATTGTATCAAATTAAATTTTTTAGATTCCTAGTTTTCTCCCTTATCACCCTGGATTGATGAGTTCATTTTATACATGATCATATCTGGGATATGGGATTATTTTGAACACTGATCATGGCCCAAGTAACTTCTTAAAACCTCATTACTTTATTTCTCAAAGAATGTGGTGTGGCTTGCAAAAAAAGGTAGGTTGACAAAAAAGATGATAAAATAAAAACAGAAAATAAGGATCAGGGCAAGAGACTATGACACGTAGTCATATTGTCATTATGATCACCTAGCCCCACATATTTTCTGAGAATGAGAATTTAATTGAATTCTTAATTCCTGACAGACAAAAGGAAAAACACAAGAGGATATGTAATTTTTTAAAATCTCATAGTCGACATTTCTTTAAGAGGTGAACATTCTCTCTGATAATAAATTCATAATGAACAGTATCTCAGAGACTCCTTTAAAACAGACATTGAAGGCTACAGTAGTTATTCCAAAATGGCATAAATTATAATTAACTTTTACAAATTTGACTACTTCCGCAATGTAATTTATGTCTGAAACATTAAACTGTTTCTGTGTTTTATCATATACAAAATAGGGATGCTGGTTTTATGTGTAAGGAATCAAAGATGTTATAAGAAGTACTCCAATGCTGGGAACCAGCAGTTAGCGTAATGGCTATGTCGCTGGACTCCCACATAGTCAACCGCGGTTCACGTCCTGGACCTGGTGACTTAAAACTCACGCCGGGTGTGTGTGCGTGCGTGCCCAGGATCCCAAGAGGAGAATGGAGGAGAAGGGATGTGACGTGGCCATTCCCCCTGGGGGGTGATTTCTCGCTTTCTGTCTCTCTCTGTCTGTCTGGAGAGCACACGTGCCCTACAGCAAAAAACCTCTCCAAAAAAAAAAGAAGTACTCCAGTGCTCAAGTTCTCAAGGCAACCACCATGCTACAAATTCATGAGAACATCTAAATGTGTGTGTACATGTTTCTAAGACTTCTATGAACGTAGGGCACAGAGGTGTAAGAGGCGGAGCTGGGCTGAGTTGGTGTCTGTAATGACATTAGACTTAAGAGCCTCTGAATTATAGGGGATTCTGAGTCTCAGTTTTAGGGATGAGGGAAGGCAGTGGAGGAGGAAGTGAAGAATGCAATTAGATGATGGGACCATTAGGTGTAGGTAGGGGTAGTTTTCAAGGGCCAGGATGAGTGATTCAGAGGAGATAATCTGGGCCTTGATATTGGGCATTTTCAGCTGTGATGAGTCCAACATCTTGAAATGCACCAGGGAAACCTGAACCTTTGTGATTATCTGTGCTAGTGAGTAATAGGATCCTTTAGGTGATAACAATCTGTCAAAGTATTTAAATAAGTAACTCTCTTTTATGTTACCACCACACTTTCAGCCATAGTCCCATCCTCCCTCTTGCCCTCTGTCTAGGGCATAATGATCAGAAGTTGTCTGGGCAATTAGGAAAACAAAATGATGTGTAGCCAGAGGTTACATACCAGCTCTAAGCTGGTGACTTAGACATTGCTGCATGCAGGGTAACGGAGACAGACAAAACAACTTGGTTCTGACCATTTATACTCCTTAATGCAAATGCAGAGAAGAAAAAGAAAACCAGATACTTTCAAATTAAGTCTTCCCCAGAGTTCAGGGAGCACCTTAATAAGGTAATACTTATTAGGGCAGGTGGTGATATCATTAAGGCTTCCTCTTCTTTCTCTTACTATTTGGTGTTATAAAGATGTTTTGAAGATGTGATAGTGATTGCTTAGCCTCTCATCTGTGTAGTGCACATGGCTGAGTATCTTTTATGAGAGATTAGCTTTGTTACTACCTAAAATTCCATGACTGTCCCATTCTCCTCACCCCTGTACCTGCTTGTTTTAATTGTGATTGTCCAGCCAGTTGGGGTTAATGGTGTGGACTGAAGCTGTGGCACTGCCTCCTTATTATACAAAGATAATTAGTGTTGAACCCCCAGCCTCATTATTCCACCTTCAGTTAATGAAGTGTTTATTCATCAGTTAGAGTCACATGGAGGAGCACATTTAGAAACAGTTCTCAAGTTAGATGGCTATGTCCAGTTGGAATAGCAGTGAGTTTTTAAAAAGATGTAGGCTTGCGAAGAACTAAATGTCATGGAGTACTGATTTCATGCAAACCATTTATAATTTGCACATGTATTTGAGTTGGTCCCTTTGGAATCAATCTAATCAATACATAGATTATTATTGAAAGCTGCTGATCTCATTAGAAAACAGCCATTTTTATTGTGTGCATAAGGACACAGTACGTGTCCTCGAAAAAATGTAGACTCCAGATAGCAAAGTCTTACATACATATGTGAAAACAGCATACTTAGTGTATAGCTGTAAATAAAAACTAATTTTGTCTAGATTCAGGACAGCCAGACTTCATCCTTGTTAATGGAGTATCGCACTGAGGCGTGAATCTTCAGATGAAATTAATGATTGCATAGTGATAACGATAATACTACATGTTTTTCCATGTGACAGCACCATGCTGCAGTATGTGTGAAGCTTTAAATTAAAATCGATCTGGAAAATTCACCACCTAGCAGACATATTTTGTAAGCTGTCTGCAGTTAGCAAACCATATCACACCCAAAGTATCAGGAATCAATTAATGGTTCTCTGCAGCTTTGAAGTGTTCCATGCTATGTCTGTTTACATAGACATTGTACATCTAAGCAAGGGGAAAGGATTAAGCTTTTCACCCATAACTGACCAGGATAGGTAAAAAATCACACAAATGAATCTCAAACTTTTATTGTCTACCTCCAGGATGTCTCTGCACCTGTTATGACCATCTCCCCCAGCGC